AAAACATGTATTCTCATAATTGAAAAATCAGGCAGATTAGAGCTGATTAATTGTATTTCGGCTTCACCAAATTACTTTTCTCTCAAAGTTTCCATTGAAAGCTCTGTGATGGAACATTTCTGCACATTCCATGTTGAGGCCTTGCACGGAAATCTATCGTAGTCGAATCGCTTTCCACAAGTCACTGTGACTTTGTGAATCTCAGCATCCATGCCCGCAAGGCAAAGTCCGATGGAAACGAAAACAAGCATTGAAATAAGTAAATGGGACCAGGGGTAGACGAGTCTCTTTGCCTCCCACGTTCTGCATTGGTATTCAGCAGTGTTTCTATTTGAAAAACTAGTAATTTAAACTCACCATGCACAGAGATAAAAGTCTGATGTGGCCGAAATAGGAATGCCTCAGAGGCTTTGAATTTGAATGTACGGCTCTGTGGTGGCTGATAGCTGGGTCTAAAGATGAACAGGCGCTGCCACAGTGAGCTGGGAGAAATTGGTTCTGTATTTCAAGGTAGCTCATGTCTACTTATGCCATTTTTTTTTCTGCTGATGCCGTCATGTTCTTCTTTATGGTTTTGAGAAATAACAGGCTTTATTGTGCTCAGGGACCAATGGATCAGAGAGAATTTGTGGGTCTCTTTATCATATTCAGGCCTTTGTGCATGTAAATCAGTGTGGCTCTGCTGTAGGTGGGCTATTATTTCCAACTGAATGGCACATCAGAGTCTGTAAACAATTGCACCTATCTGGTATGGACTACAAACGGCCTCCCAAAAGGTTTGACTGTCTCCCCCTGAACTTGTGTAAAAATAGCGAGGTCAAACCTCCCGCGTGACTCTAAAGCGTCTCCTCACCAGAGGCACATATCCGCCTCTTCAATGTGGGATTGTTGATGGCACATTCTCACCATTCAGGTGTTCTCGTCAGTGCTGGATGTGAGGCTCGTTCTGACACCTATGGACACCAGTGTGGCCGCAGAGGATCAAAAGCAGGTTAATAAAATAGCTTTTTGTCTTTCTAAGTAAAGAATAATGCCTAACGACGTGTGTGTTTCATAATGAAGCCGATCAGTTTAAGACCTACCGAACCTGGGGGGACGCTACAGAGCCAGTAATATTCAAATCTAAATTAAAACCTCACCTGTTTTGCTCTGCTTTTCCCACCTCGGCCTTTATCTTGATATTTGGTGTTGTTTTTATCTGCTTGCTGTATTTCTATGTTGTCTATCTTTGTATTAGTTGCTTATTGTTTATTGCTTTTATTGCTTTTATCCTGTGAAGCACCTTTGAGTTCTTGAAAAGCGCTATATAAATAAAATGAATTATTATTATTATTATTGTTACCTAAGCTGTACAGCCGCACTGATCTCATTCCCACGTCACCATCTTCCTGTCACTACTTTTCATTGATGTAATGGTGAAAAGATGATGTATTCAGTCTTTACAGGCCTGCACAGTCATTTCCTCCATAGAGGTTTTAGACAGGGCCAAAGGAGAATCACCAGGACCAAAGTGCTAAGAATTGGGAATATATATGTATATTAGGGGTGGGACTTTGACGTGTTAATTAAGATTAATTAATTACAACTGTTGTTGTTGTTGTTGTTGTGTGGAATATATGTTATATTGATTAAAAAAAAAAAAGTGAGCTTTTACAAGATTGAATTTCCCTTCTGGGATAAATAAAGTATTTTTCACAACAAAAATAGCGCATTAAAAAAATTTGCCGCTATCCAGGACTGCTAGCGCTAACAGCTCCGGCGGTTTCTGTGCTCGCTGCTTTGCGTTCAGGTGGTACCGTCAGCTCCATGTGCTTCGGTGGGATGCAAAGTCTTTTTTACACAAGTTGCACCAAACCAGGCTCTGGTCCAGGCTTCCATCAGGCAGCTTTTAAAATGAGACTTGGCCTCCATCAGTCCAAGCGATGTGCTCTCATCAGATTCCTCCATGTTTGTTGTTGTTAGCGTAGCGCTGACGCATCATGTGATCGGTGGACCGTCGTTAGGAAAATCCTTCACTGGAGTCCTACCTGCTCCAAATCAACACACAGAGGCGTCTCTTAAGTCAAAGCAAAGTTTTACTTGCAGCACAGAGTCTGAACCAGTGACTGACTAGAAGCATGAAGCGTTGGTCCTCATATACAGGAAACAGGAGACAACCTCCTGCATATGTGTGTTCTGACTACCTGCTGTCCTTATCTCACACTAACAAGGTGAAATAGAGGCAACGGACATTTACAGCATTCTCATACTTTTCACAAAGATCATTGGATCATAACATAGAATTATTCCAACAACCATGACATCAGGTCTGACTAACGCTCTGTGTTGTCTGGAGGCAAACTGACATTAAATGTGTTAATTTTTTTTAACGCATTATTTTTGTTGTAATTAATTAATCGAGATTAACGCTTTAAAGTATATTAGGGGCGGGACTTTAATGCGTTATTTTCACGTTAATTAACACGTTAAAGTTCCACCCCCAATATATATATATTTATTTTTAAATTTTCCAGTTTTGATATTTGGGATTTCATTTACTCAAGCTCAACAGACAGTTTATTTTAACAAATGGTGACAAATATCAATATCACGGTAACACAGACTGACTGAATTCCTGTATTTGAACTAATCATGCAAACAGCCTGTGATTTATCTTATCTTTAATTTCTCTCTGTATGGATGTTCTGTAGCCCTCGGCTTATGAAGCGGCCATCAGGAGGCGCATTCATTTTAACTAATCGACAACGATGTGGCGTACAGTCCACGTCAAATCATCGTAATAGTGGCACTGCAGTGGCATTTTCCCATTTTGCTATTTTTTAATACCTCCCTGGGGAACGTGAATAATTACTCGCACACGTGCTCTTTACAAGAACGATCGGAAGCCTTTTCACGCCGTCTTTAAAGCCTCCGTTTGTAGACTGTTGTTGTCGGAAAAATCACACGAACCTGGTTGGAAAAAGTCTGTCTTCAGCCTGTTTGTGATCAGTGCGCCTGAGACCCCCTGAGTCATGGTCCAAATGCTGCATGTGTATGATGTTCTTATTTTGATTATCCTTGGACTGCAGTAACTCGAATGACAGCAACAGTTGATGCTTGAAGCCAAACGGGGTACCTTGGGACTGTGCACCATCTGTACTTGTTTATAGGTCATTTCCCTGAAGTGATTTCCAACATGCTGTTTATTGGACATTATTATCGTATATGTCATGTAACTCATAAACCCATCTTGGTAATTTCTGAAATATGCATACTCTCCCTTTTTTTTTTTTTTTGGAGATTGTAAACGTTTGAATGTCTTTTTCAACTTCATATTTGTTCCCATTTTTTTGGCATATGCTATCCTTTAATAATCAGCTGCTGTATGTCTGGACCTGATGTCAGACGTGACCCTCTGCTCACCAAGGCTAAACCATGAATTGATTTCAAATGAAAATTGCAATTTAATAAATGCAAAATAGGAAATCTCAGCGGCTGGCATGCAGGGTGGGACTGAAGAGTACGTCTGACCCGGGGTTTGTTCCGTCAGCGGTTGTACAAATTCATTCCGTCCTTGTTTGACAGCGTTTTGTGGCCTGTCATGTGGTAATGCACCTTCAGGTTTTACATCTATTACACAGTGAAAATTGAACTGAAGTTGGACTGATATTGCAAATCCAATGCCCCATGTTGCTCAACCCTACTGCTCCCTTATGCTGGGTTTGCTGAGGGCAGCACGATGTTGGAGAAAAA